TAAGGATTTGTGGTGCAACCAAATTTGGTAAAAGGGTAGTTTGAAATTAACTAGTAAGAACTTAGGAAAGACTTTACACCCAAACATAGATATAAACTTACAAACTTCTGATGAAAAGTCAGAAAAAGGCAGTGATTGCGCATCTTAAGCAGTTGCTAGGCGGTTGCTAGGGTGTGTCTAAATGGTTACTATGGTATTTTAGGTAGTTGCAAAGATGTTGATAAGTGGTTGCTATGGTATCCCAGGTGGTTACTAGGGTGTTTCTATATGGTTGATATGGTTCCCCATTAGGTTAATAGGGTGTTTGCTAATGGACTTGTATCAACATGACACAAGTTGGGTGCACAAATTTTGGCACCCCATTGATTCCCATGGGAGAAAAAAAAAGTCATTTAACAATGATTATACAAAAACGATACGTCCAATCAGACCAAACATTCTGATCAGACCAAACATTCCAGAGTTGGAATGACGTCAATATCTTGGAAACTGCAGGATGAGTTAGCATTAGAGTTTGCAATGCGCAATCTCAAATTATCTTTTATGATATATGAAAAGTCTTTTTTTTCCCATTTGTTTTGATGTCCAGAGAAAACAGTCACGGTTGTTCTCAGTGGCGGTGATGGGAACCAGACATCTGAAGAGTTTAATGCCTCAAAAAAAGTTCTCTCACATGAAATGCTTATCAATATTATACTGCCTATGACATTGTTTTGCAATATTTCTGAGACAAGTTTTGGCTAGAAAACATATTTTTTTAAAATCCAGGGTGAAGAGGTACATGCAGGGTGCTCTAAGGCTAAATAGTACACAAATTTACGATTATCAACAATATATTGAATAACCCGGACACATACAGGTTCACTGGTGGTTTGGGATAATAAATAAATGGCTATGTTTGTTATGTAGACTTTGTGACCCCTGGTTGTCACAACCACTAAAGAAATCTCTACAATGAACCGTTTCACATCAGCCCACCCTGAGAAAGAAAGAAAGTAACAAGTGGAGACTCAAATCTGTGAATACAGAATACAAACCAAGTATAAATAGAAATAATTACATGAGTAGCTATGTAGTTATTTAATTATGTAATTAGATATACATAATATAGCAAAACGCATATAGTGATGTTGAAGTTCAGAGGCAGGATGCAAGTGCAAACTGGTTTTATTTTCTGAAGATTTAACAGTGCAGAAAGCGATTGAGAGAACCAAGCACAGAGATGTCCATAGTAAAAATAAAGAACACTAAACAGCAAGAAAACCAAAGGACAAATAAATCCTACACACTAGAGATCACTGTTAACTAGAAACAACACCTACATAAGGCTAAAGATAAACAAGAACCACAAACAGTCACATAAGGCAATGTAAGATAAAAGTACACTGTAATACACTATAATGACACTGTAATAACTCTAGACTTCTAAATGTTAATATCGTGATCTTTCCTGTTTGTTTCTAACCTGGAAACATATTACTCACTGCCAGCAAATCTGGGTGATCTCTGTAATCAGTGCGCTACTTCCTAAAATAGGACAGGATCACTCTTTGCCTCGTCCCAGCCGGTTTAACAGTCTGGTACCATAACCTCCTTCATTGGAAACTCCGTACAAGGTTATTTCATAACTCAAACCTGCTTCAACCAATCATAAGTATTCCTGATATTAGTTATGATAAGAAGCAGGTAGGCATGCTTCAGAGAAGAATGTTTTCGCACCCTGTTAGCATCGCACAGTGCTGGGCTTCGTAGCCGCAGTGTCCAGTGCCCAAGCCTGCAGAAGGGTAAAGCTTGGTAAACACTGTAAAAGATGGTAAGTAAAATAATATTAAATCTAGTGAATATAACTAATATTTCTCATTTTGCAATTGTGCACATATTATAAGATTATACTTACTTTCAGACATGATTTTTTTTAATTTATTTTTTTTTTTATGAGTGAAATGATCTCATTATTTAGATAGATACTTTTGCTTCTTTTTGCGAAATATGCTAGTTAGATCTTTTCACTTGAAGAAAATGACCTTAAAAAGGTGAAAAATGTCTGGACGTAAGCAAAATCATCTTATTCTCACAATCTCAAAATGAGAAAATATTAGTTATATTGACTAGATTTAAGTTGATTTTACTTGCCAAGCCATCATTTGCAGTGAATAAGTGTATATTAGCTAATATTGTGGCACCAATATAGCTTGACAATATTTGATAATACTATAATGGGGCCGTGAGGCTCTATATGGCTTTATCTAGGCCTAATTTCTGAGTTTCTTGTCTGTTGAGCTGTTGTATTATGTTGTGTTTTGGTTTGGTTTGGATCTGTCAGTCAGTTTCATGAATTAACTGGTTTGTAATGATAGTATTTCATGGAAAAGCCCTAAAAAAGTGCAATAATGTTGCATCTTGCCGCCTCAGGCTCGGGCATGTTACAGTTAGTATGTGCATTTTTGTTGGTGCCAAGATTGTGCACTTGTTAGCTTAGCCAGAAAGTCAACAGCATCATGTCAAAACAATAGCATGAAATGTTTGTCCTTGGATTAGCATTGTATCACCCGTCACACCGAGTATGCTTTCACACGCATGCGCTTGAAAGTTCTGTTCTCCAGTTCTTGAAAGCAAGACAGTGGCTTCCAAATGAGGAAAACAAGCATCCCCTACAGGAGGACACATCATTTCCTGTCAGGTGGCTACAGGGTTTTAGCGCTGATTTGGAGTCAAAGCGGTAGATACAGCAAATCGTGAGCAGAATGGGATGTCCCCAGTGCCCTCATATCCCTCCATGCAAATTTAATACATCCTAGTCAGCTATGAATCTTTCAACCTCACTTGTGCTGTGAATATTAAGAAGTGCGGAGCAGATTTTTTCCTTTTTCCTGCTGTTTTAAAAGTGTTACTTACAATGAGATGAATACATGTTTACACTTAATTTTTCCCATTTAGCTGCTTAGCTCTTTCTCTGATCCTGAGAAAAGCAGTATTCTGTGGTGAACAATTTGCTGAGGGTAATAAGCTGGCGGCTTAGCCTCCAACTGCCTTGGATTCTGGAAAGATATCTTGATACGGTACAATTTCATAGTGGAATTGTTTAGCATGGAATTTGGCTGATTGTGAATAGTGCGATTAAGGTTGGCCATTATCCCCCCTGCCTTTAATGCCTGTAAACTGTGCTGGGGGAGGGTTAAGTGTTGTAAGTGATGTAAAATCAATTATGATGCTTTTGTGCTGTCTCATTTTGCATTATTTCCAAAATAAAAAAAAATTAAAAGAGTAGTGTTCTTGTAGTCACATAATAAGTGAATGCAGTGCATGATTTTTAAGGCATCATTCATTAAATGTCAAACGATCCACTGAACAATTGGTAAATGTTAAACAGTTGAAGTGCTAACTAAGAGAGAGGAGCTGGTTAGCATTAGCTTAGCTAGATAGTATGATAACAGCTCTGCTCACCTCAGAACATGTTTGATTCTGGCTAACTAAAGCACTGATGCAAGTTTAGATGATAATGATTCAAATTTGAGGGGGTAAGTCAAGCAACTGGTGTTAAATGGACAGAAAAGGCAAAATTAACCTGTTTCATAGTGTCGATCTGTAGCCTGATCAGCTAACTTAACATTAGCTTAGCGAGGAGGCTCCAGATCCAAACAGTGCTACACACAACAATACAGGTTTGATTCTGGTGCTGTGACTGACTGGTGTTGGAGTGACAGAAAGCAGAAATCGAACCTGTTCTGACTGTAGCATTTCGGCTAAGCTAACGAGAGCTTAGCCAGCCAAACATACCACACATTACAGCATATGCTTGGCTCCAGCTAACCGATGCTAAAATGACACCCGTTAAGAGACAAAGTCGATTAACTGGTGTTAGACTGAAAGCCGAAGGCAAACATGTTGTGTGTGTGTGCATGTAGCTGTTAGCCGTTCCTGAGCTGCTATCATATTTAGTTTTTCTGAGTTTTTTCCTAGTTTTCACTTTTCTCCACTTTCTTTCAGTGCCTCCCTAAGTATAATTGTATTCTAGCGTTAGAAAGGCTGATCAGCAGCACTTAAATCTTCTGTTTAGCACAGTTACATGATTTATAGTGGCCAGATTAAAGCAATAGTTTGACCAAATATCAAATTCACACAATTTTACCCTAAAATGTAGTCAATCATTTAAGACATGTTTGGGAGTCTGAAGTTTGCTTCTTTAGTTCTGCCCAGGCTAATGTAGCTAACAAGTACTGGAAAATTTCAGATATCAGGGTACCCTTTTGCAAAACTGCAATCCTACATCCTCACAAACCATTTAAAAGTGCTAAATGATCTCAAATAGACTTGCTCCTGTTCTTTCTGACATTATATGACATACTGTTAGCTACAAAATCAGACCGTTCAGGCTTCAAGATGGCCGTTATCATTATATTTTTAGCTAGCGATGTACTTTTACCAACGACATTTGGTGTAAGTTTAAATTTATGGCTGAACCATAGCTTTGGCTAAATTCTGATGAAATCAGTTATGTAGACATTGCATTTTGTCATTGCACTGGTATGTCATTTGTATACTGGAGCAAGAAAAGCTCCAGAAAAGAAAAGGCCTATGACAGCCCAGTAGTGCAGCAGATCCATGCAATACAGTTGCTGGAAAAGCGAGGCTAATAAGCCGTAGAATCCGGATCCTGACAGCCTTGTCTGTGCCTAACGACCTGAACACCATGTGCTACATGATTTCTGTCTATCAGCCACTTAAATGGAAAGAAAAAAAAGAGGAGAACTGAAAATCCTAAGAAGTAGGTTTACCCCCTCAGGCGTCGTTGTTGTACCTTCTCTTCAGGACATAAGTGCTGCTCCCTTATTTCCCGCGACGGACTGTGCAGGAAAAATTGGGCCCCATTTTGCTTTTCTTTTTCATTTGAGTGCAGCTTTTGATGTTGCCCATAACAGGCTTTTGATGACTTTAACTTCTTCCCTTGCTGTGCCTCTCTCCCTCTCTCACTAGCTTTCTTTGACTTTTTCTCTCTCTAGGCTTGAAGCAGATCCATGCCTTGTCTATCCAGGGTAACTATGAGTTGAGGATAGATTTGGAAGATTTTGAGAACAGTACAGCGTTCGCCCAGTATGGCATGTTTGGAGTGGGACTGTTCTCAGTGGACCCTGAAGACGATGGCTACCCACTGACCATTGGTGACTACACCGGTACTGCAGGTAAATACACACAAAGGTTGGATCGATACCAAATTTTGATTTTGGTACTAATACTAGCTTTGATGGTTCACTATTGATAGCAAGTCAATTCGACGATTCAATAGCCTCAAATGATGGACAAATTAAAAGAAAAAATGAGCTATTTATTAACACAACTGCAGTTACTGCAGACGCATTCCAGGGGCATAATCATATGGGGGGATGCTGAAAAGCACTTTTGTCCCCCTCCTATATACACACTAACACACCACCATCACATCAGTATTACTGCAGTGCTGAGAATGATCCACCACCCAAATAGTACCTGCTCTGTGAGGGTCCATGGGAGTCCTGACCACCGAAGAACAGGGTAAAAGGGGGCTAACAAAGTATGCAGAGAAACAGATGGACTACAGTCTGTAATTGTAGAACTACAAAGTGCACCTATATAGTAAGTGGAGCTGATAAAATGGACAATGAGTGTAGAAACAAGGAGGTGGTCATAATGTTATGCCTGATCAGTGTATGTATACAGTACTCTTCTGGGTCCGGATAAAGTCACCAACTACTATTACATGACTGCTAGGCCTGGATGATATCTAAAAATGATTAGCACAATATTTTGAGTTAACGTGATTATAGTCAAAAATACTAATATTAAATAATATTAAGTAACATCTTTTTGAAACTACTTCACTTGTCATTATAATACACATTTTTCCAATCATGTGAGTTCACATGCTTCTTCTGGTGCAGATTTATAAAGACTAGTGAGCTAACAGTGCTCCCTGCTGGAGAAATCTCAGGATGCAAGTGATTTTCAAAGCCGTGTTCTCATCTTTTACATTAAAAAAGGCATTTTCCATCCTTACAGCTGCGTTTTCATTAAGCTAACCATCAGCAGACCTAAGCTGTACAGAAAATACTGTAAATTGTACTCAGTAAATCACATGCAGCAGACACAGTGGGGGATTTACTCATAGACTTTTAAAGGCCCCATCATAACTCAAGAGTGAATAAAACTTTATATGTACATATTATTTCATATTAGTTTATGACCTTTTTACTGGTTCCATTTCCTAGCTGTAGACCAGGATCATAAGAACTTTCTCTCCAGGTTAGAGCTAGCTGCTTTAGCATAAAATCCATTCACTTTAGCTGGGTCTTTTTACTGCATCGATACTGCACATACTGCACATTGAGGCAAGCTGTTCCAAAAGTCCCAAAGCACATTACCATTTATTTTCTGTTCCCTGTACTCAAGCTAAACTTAATGTAAAGTAAAATAAGTAAAAGATAAAGAGAAGTGCGGTAAAGCTAGCATTACAGTGCACAGCAGTAAGAACTCACAGGCAGCCTCTCTTCCCAAGAGAAAAAATGACTATTGACTTCTTAATTTCACAACATATTTACAAGCTGTTTAATGGTAAATTAGTCCAGCAGCAATTATCGCCTTTTACACATCATCAGGTTACTTGTCCATCATCAGCGATATCCAGTTAAACTGCACAGGCCTTATGTTGCTGTGTGAGGTTTCTATTTGTAGAATGATCACTTTGTAAAGCTAGCTAGCTAATGCTAAATTAAATGCAGTGCTCTCAATGAATGAAGTTTAAAATGCATTTTCAATAGACATCAGGCACTGAGATTTTAAAAATGATGGCATTGTCCTCAGGCGTAGGAAGGGCCAGGTTTTACTGGGGGAGCCTTAATGTTCTAAAATGCCTATTTGTGGTGCATTTTCACATCAAGATACGCCTTAAAAGTAACCTTTCCTCTCACTGACTTTTGTAATCAACCAATAAATGCTTAAATCTGAATACATTTACAGCTTTCAGCCTCAAAGGACATTTCAAGATCTGAAAGCTTGACTGTTTTTTTCTTAGAACTTGACTGCACCTTACATCAGGGGGCTCTGACCTTAACTGAAAGATCAAAAGCACTCAACTTCTGCATCTACAGTACTTTTGACTGATTGTTGCAAATTAAGCTAGGTCTGTATCCAGTCTGGGTGTTTTTATTACAGACCTTATCATTGATAAGGTCTGATTAAACAAAGCAGATTTAACATTAAAGGAGATTTAACATTATGTTTCTTAAATACAGATGATACCTTTTCTATGGGCAACAACAACATTTATTAAGAACAGCTGGGAAAATTAACCTTGACTGAACTTTAAATGTTTAAAAACATCACTGAAATTTATTGTCTTTGTGCAGAGGACAGGTACAGAGCCACAGAAATGCAGTTAGCATCTAACCAGAAGTGCAAAATGCACTGTTATTTACATATAAAGTCCTGAAGTATAGATAAGAAGTATATGTTTTCTAACAGTTAAGCTAACACGTTAGAAAAACACCTTCTGAATGTTAACGCCACTTTCGCTGTATCTGTCATTAATTAGAAAACACACAGGGATCCGAACAAGCTTTTCAACAAGGCAGAGACTACAAAGCAAATCATCACATGCTTATCAAAACCACTATTGCATCAGACGTACTTACCTAGTAATTACCTCTTTCATTACGCAATCTAGACCGTCAAAAACATTGTGTCCAGTTATTTTTACATTAGATACATTCAGATACCACTCTCAAAATGAATGGCCAATATTATCAGGCTAGCTGACTGGTTATCAATTATTATGCTACCTTATTTTTGAGTTGCATTTACTCATATGCTTAATAATAGTGGACATTTTAAATAGAGCACACTGACTGACATTTTCAGCTGTAAACATACATCATCAGATAGTATTAATTACACTATGTAGACCACATGTTCAAATAGCAGTTACAATTCAAATGGCACCAAGGTTTGAAGAAATTTCGAATACAAAACACTACTTTCGGTAACTTTCGGTAAAAATAGTTACAAAGGATTTCGAGATCAGAACTGGGACGCTGATCCGCCTCGACTCTCGACCTATTTCCCCTACGATTGTATAGTTTAACATTTTTAGCACCATGGTAATTTTGTAGTACCTGAATACTACACAACCCAAACACACACACACACTCACACACACACACACACACACACCTGTAAAGATTGTAAAAAAAAGGTTTTAAGAATATTCCCACTGAGGCACCTTAACTTCAAGTAAGACAGCTAACTTAGCACATTTCATCAGCTCATGGCCATATCTGACCACTTTGTCACATCTTGACGTTTTCACCTTTATGTAGAGTTGCCATCATTATAGCCTACATGCTATAAAGTTTTATAAAGGGTGATGTGACTGTATGCATTTCTGTACTAAGTTTCTCAGTTTCTCTCACACAAGTCCAAGAGATTAAGTGACTCAAAATTAATTACTGCCATTGACCTGGAGCATAAACAACTGTGTCCTCATGACAAAGAAGCAATTTAGCTAGGCCTTCTGGGAGCAGAGGAAAGAAGGTAAAAAGGGAGGAGCAGTTTGATAGCTAGCATGGGAACGACTGAAAATTAGTACAAAAGATGGACATATGGGGTTTAGTGAGGAGAAAGAGCCTTACTGAAAGGAATGACTAGCCAAGTTATGCTAATCTTTAGTAGCTGGCATTAATGAAAGCTGGTGGGCACTAGCAGTTAGCATGAACTCATTTGTCCGTGTTTTGTTTTTTTGTTTTTTTTTGTTTATCAGTAATTTCAATCAAAGAACAGACAGTGGACATGAGGACAGGGCAGTGGAGAAAGCAGTGGAGAAGTGGAGGTTTTGTCCCTAGAGCTTTAATTGGTCCTAAAATCTTGGTCTGAACTCTAATATAGCTCGAGAATATTCTTTTTGAGACCTAACCAATGCACAACATCATGCTATGAATGACCCCATGACCTTGGGAACTATTTCATATATTCTATTTAAAGTGTCTTATTCGTTGTTGAACCATGGCTGTTAGAGCTAGGCCTTCAATTTGGGCCATAAATACTAAAACTTAAAACATGAGGAAAAAACTCACCTGTATAACAGTGCTAATTTCTGCTGGTGTCCCTGTGGAATTCCAGTAGTTTGGTAGCTCTAAGGTAAAGGTGATTTGCAATTACCATCATAGTTCTAGATCAAACACAGACATTTGAGTGTAAAACTTTCCATGTTTTGCTTGAAGTTTGTGATAGGCATATACTTGCATATACTTTACCTTGCAGCAGTTCCACAGTGACTCTTTCAGTAGAGAGGTCAGGTATAGAGCTGCTGCTGTTTTCCATTTCTAACAACTCACTGATTAGGCTGCTGCTCTTATTCACAGTCAGTGATTTATCTAGGACTTCGATTGATGTTTTTTCTCATGAAATTGGCCCCATACTTTGGAAATTAAAGCATGATTGGATGATTCCTCTATCATTTCATAATTTATGCTGATGGTTAATTTGATGTCTTAGCTCTTTGAAGTCCTAATCAATAAAAGTACTCACTTATTTACATCTACTTAGATACCACAGATGATTCCTGATTGGCCAAATTTCCACTGGGTTTTTAAGACTTTAACCCTTTGGATGCATCCAAATTTTAACAATGAAACAAGATTATTACTGTAATGTTTTCAGAGTTTAGGTACAAGCATGATTTTGTTGAATAAAGATTAACAAATAATTCACAGACATGTATTTTTTTAGTTCCCAGAAATCATTAGACCTTCTCTGAAGGCTTAGAAAGCTCTGAGGATGCCTTTCTGGTCGTATTGAGGTATGATCAGAGAATGGGCTCTGAGAGAATGGGGCCCTGGCAACATAAAATCCTGAGAACATTGGGCCCTAGGAATATAAGATCCTGGGACCATAGAATCCTGGAAGAAAATGAGTCTGGGAACATAGGACCCTGGGAACATAAGACCCTGGAAACTTTGGACCCTAGGAACATAGGACCCTGAGAACATGGGGTCCTGGAAACATAGAACCCTGAGAGCTTGGGGTCCTTGGAACATAGAATCTTGAGAACATGGGGCTCTGGGAACACAGGACCCTGGAAGCTTTTGACCCTGGTAACATAGGACCCTGAGAACATGTGGCCTTGGAAACATTGAACCCTAAGAACATGGGGCCCTGTGAACATAGAACTCCTTGGAAACATGCAGCCCTGAGAGTATTCAGAATATTCATGCAGTCTAGACAGGCATTAATTTTTTCAGTGTTGCTTGTTCTGTTAGTTTTAAGTGTGCTCACTACCCTGTAATGTTTCAGATGAGATTCTGTTCACTTTACAGCAGAAGGCTAATAGATTATTCCACCTGACATTTACCTCTCTGATAAGCAGCCTTTTCTTTCCCTCTCACTCCTACACACACCTCCTCCCTCTTGCAGATCAGTGTCCCACTTTTCCCCCAGCTCTACTTACTGTGTTTATGGTGTTGTAGGCACCATAACCCCTAGTATCCCCCAACTAGCAGTCTTTTCTCTCCTTTTCTGAGACTGAAACACACAGAAATGTACAAAGCCTAGGTTACCACGTTTCACTTAATGTATCACCTCACCATCTCAGCACTTCTTTGTTTGTGTTTCAAGGGAGTAAGACTCAGTTGTAATAAGAAGCCTTATATCTATGCTCTTTTTAAGCCTGGACAATGTTATTTTTATCACTTTCCCGGTGTATATAGATACTATTGACTGAGACAGATTGAGCAAAAGATGCATAGCATATCATACAATACAGAGAGATATGCTACTGTAATATTTCAGGGGAGATTAGACAACGATAATCCGCTTGCATAAGCGAGGGGAAAGGAAAACAAGTGACAAAAAAAAAAAACAGGAGTTTCCCAAACTGGAGCTCAAAAACGAGTAAACATATAGAGAAAATGGGTCTCCTAAGAACTATGCAAGACCTAATAGATCACCAGATCTATCACAGTGAGATCCAACCAACTTCTAAGACTGAACTTCAAGGTTAGAAAAATATGCCTGCAGATTTTCTTTGAAAAACTGAAAGCAAGTCTCCCAAAAAGAATGGAAACTGTAATAAGGCAGAGGTTGAAAACATTAAATACTAAAAAATATATTTAGTTGATCATTTTTAATAAATAAAAGGCAGCCTCTGGCTTTTGCATAGTACTGTACATCATACATATCATCGCTAACATAGCGAAACATCCCCTTGAAAACAGCAGCTTTCTTTTAAATTATGTAAAAGTTTCATGATGAATGGACAAATAGAAACAAGAAAGAAAGCAAACAAGTAATCCAGTTTTTTAGTAATGCACACTGTCATTAGTTATGAATATTTCTTCTAGCTTTAAAGCTGTCTCTGATTTTCTGCTCGCCTTATTTTGGTCCAAGAGAGAGAAAGGAAATGGTGCAATTTTGCCATCCAGTAATGCAAATATTGGCATACGTATCATCATAATCAATACTTTGTACATCCATTTTTTTAACATGCATTATGAAAATACCAGCTGCCTTTTAGATTGTGTAAACATTTAATAATGAATGGACCAATAGAAATGGCCTGAATATCTTAAATAAAATCTTGTTAAATTAATTTTTTGTTTCGGTACAATGTTTTACTGTGACAACGACATTAAACGAAGGATAACAAATAATACAATTTTTTATTGTATTACATAGTCATTGGTTATGGATGGTTCACTCAGCTGCACAGCTTTCTCTGATTGGCTGCTGGTCATGTTTGGGCCTATTCCCCACCTTGTTCCACTCTGTTGCCTTTAAAGCGCTTTGCTAGTCAGCGGCTTCGTTAAGGCTAGACATCATTAAGCTCCAGTGTGTGTTACCTGCAAGGCACGTTAGCTCATCTCATTATGTGTGTGTGTGTGTGTGTGTGTGTGTGTGTGTGTGTGTGTGTGTGAGTCAGTGCGAGTGAGTTTGGGAGGTGATTTCAAAAGCTCGTATGAAAAGATAAAAAGGTCATTCCTGAATCTTTGATAAAATCCTCAACAAAATGATTCATCTGTCCTTTTTTTAAATCAGAAGGGAAGAGTTGAAGGAGGGAGCGAATTCTCGCCTTCTCTGATCTCTGCCATCGCCATTTACATTATTGATAAAAGTCAACATCCATTAATCACTTTGAAATGAGATAAGATGCCGCTCTCAGCGAAGGCTGATAAGGGAGGGTGCATACAAGCTGGCTAAGAAGTGACCGTGTGTGTGTTACTGTTTGTTTTTGGACATTTTCAGGACAGAAACAGGGCTAATCTATAATGTCTGGCAGTGTTGTAATTGATGTCATTAGAGGTGAGACTAACTGAAGACTAAGACTGTGTAGTAGTCAAGGTTGAGATAAGACCAAAGTCCTTATGGTTTAGTCTGAACACTCATCAATCTTAGCAATGCATCTGTGCAGTCACACAAGACCAGGCACCTATCTGCTTAAATGGGGCGAGAACTCTTAACCCAAAACACTTTAAGTACACCAGTCATGTACAGATTTACAATAGGTGGGTCAGTTTAGAGAGAAAGAATTGCCACTCTTGGCCTTTTGGAAGTCCTGGAGACTCACTGACTGTGAGTTGGAGTGGTAGCCTGACCAGTGTGTTTCAGTCAAATGTTAGAAATGGAAAACAGAAGCAGCTCTATGTCAGGGCTCTTTACTGAAAGAGTCACTGTAGTTAACTTAGTGCTAGCATACTACTAGAATCCTATGGGGCACTAGCAGAAATTAGCATTGTCATAGAACAGGGGTCGGCAACATGCGGCTCTTTTCGAACATCGATAATTTGGAGACTAACAAACTTATTTGCATTTATAAGCACTCCAGCTGGTTTCCTGATACATTTAATCTGCAGTGTGAAACAGACAAACACTAAAAAGTCGCAAAGCTGAAGTCAGATTCTCATTTGCCAGCTTCTTGTTCGAATTTTCCTGTTCCACCAGTTGCATTCTGGCGCCTCAGGCACCATTTAAGGTGGGACAGGAAAATGAAAACAAGAAGCTGACACATAAGAAGCTGACTTCAGCCTCGTAAAAAAAACGAACGTTAAGAGACATTTTACAAGAAACTACTACTTTTAAGGAAAATGTTCCTGCTGGAGATGCAAGAAACGTGGCTATAGCTAAACTAAAGCTCAAAGCAGAGCAAAGTAAGACTGGATTTTCATTTATAATTTATTCTTTAGTCTATACTAGGACATTAGCTAGCACATATTAAGAAATATTTTCAGCCAGGATGGTAAAATGTTACTTCAATAAGATGGACATGAAATGTTGTGGCTCCCAAAATGGTTTGATATTTGTTGTTGTCAATATTTGGGTTGCCGATCACTGCCGTAGAAGGTTCTTCATTTTGATATGTATTTCCTGAACGAGAGGCCTAGCTCTAATAGTTATGGTTAACCACTGATAAAACAAACAATTGTATATAAAAGTTGTAAAACACTCCTGTCGGATGACATATTTTGTTGATTTTCTATGTGAAAACAAGTTAACTCATTCTCTACAGGGAACAAATATAGATGTGGCAATATTCTGCCAATTTTAGAATACAGTTTCTATTTATTTGCTGAATGTAACATATTGAAAAAAATGTGTCATATGTGCTATAAACTTTTTACAGGCCACATTTTATGTTTTACTTTTTTCACACTGGCAGCAGAATTGGGTCTTACTGAAGAGCTGTTTGACTTTAAATGTGGCACTGTCATGTCATGATGCCATCTTTGCCACGAGTCAGTTCATGAAATTTCTACCCTGCTAGATCTGCCCCAGATCAGCTGTCAGCTGTAAGTGCTATTATTGTGAAATGTAAGTGTCTAGGAGCAACAACAGCTTAGTCATGACATGATAGACCATGCAAACTCAATAGTGCGGCCACCAAGTGTTAAAGCATATAGCACAAAAAATTGGCTATGCTTTGTTGCATCACTCACTACAGAGTTCCAGACTGCCTCCAGAAGCAACATCAACACCAGAACTTCAAATGAGGAGCTTCATGAAATGGGTTTCTATGGCTGTGCAGCTGCACACAAACCTAAGATTACTATGCACTGCCACAATGCCAAGCGCTGGCTGGAGTGGTGTAAAGCACACTTCCACTGGACGCAGGAGCAGTGTAAGCGCGGTTTTGGAATGGGATGTCTAACAAGCCCATATAGGTGTAATGGTCAGGTGTCCACATACTTTTGGCCATATAATGCATTTATGATCCCACATACAGAAAAGCAAACATAAATGCACAAAGAAAGCACGTCAGAATCACAATTTTTTAATAGATTTATCCCTCTTTCTCTCCTTGCCCTTTGTTTTTCCTGTGTGTGTGTGTGTGTGTGTGTGTCTGTCTGTGCGCCTGTGTACATACCCTATAGGTGACTCCCTGTTGAAACACAATGGCATGAAGTTCACCACCAAGGACAGAGACAACGACCATTCGGAAAACAACTGTGCTTCATTCTACCACGGAGCCTGGTGGTACCGCAACTGCCACACGTCCAACCTGAACGGTCAGTATCTGCGCGGTCAGCACACCTCCTACGCTGATGGCATCGAGTGGTCGTCTTGGACTGGCTGGCAGTACTCACTCAAGTTCACGGAAATGAAGATACGGCCCACGCGTGAGGAAAGAGAGAGCAAGTGATGTCACTGAGAATGAGTGTGTAAAAATCGAGAGGGAGGGTTGAAACTAGAAAAAAATCTTAAAAATGAAAAAGAAACTGGTGATAACTAAAACTGACAGTGAAACTTTTTTTTTGGTTGGTTGCGGAAAGAGAGAGATCCTATTGGTCGCATTTTTCGTTTTTTGCTTCTTTTTTTGGGCCTCAGTAGAAAGGTCACAGGTGTATGCACATGTTAAGCTCCACCCTAGGAAAGCTCTCCATTCAGCAATTGTTTGGTCAAGCAAGCGAAGCCTCCGATAACTAACATGAAGCAACCCAGAAAGGGTAACAGTAGGAAAATGGAGAGAAAGATGAAAAAATTCACATTGAAATATGTTGATTACCATTATTGACAGTGATGACTTGCAGTTGCCTGGTTGAAGATGAGGGATCCTGTTGGTTACATTTTGGTTCTTTTGCTTCTTGTTTTTGAGCTCAACCGAAAAATCACAATGGTATGCATACGTGTAACTTCACCTACTTTATGAAAAATGCACTCCTATCATTTGACTGAGGTACAAAAATGGACTGGCATTCATCTGAGCGGCCAGACTGCATCAGGCCATGGAGAAGGAACCTTGACTTATTCCCAAGAAACTTGAAACAAGAGCATATTAAACTGAGTTATCCCCAAATGTATCAGTACCACAGGGTACCAGTAACATGTGGTCAACTGGAAATCTAAAATTTGTTTGACAGAATGGTGTTTAACAGCGAAACCTTTCTGTTTTTCTGTGATGGATTGTCCTCATGTTGCTGACTGGTAACTGAAGAGCACATGGAGCAACTGCAAAATCCCTTTGAAGGCCCACTGTGAAATGGGACAAAGCTTAAAAAAACAGATACATACACACATACAGTCATAGAGAGAAAGAGGTGACAAAAGAGGATGGATAGAGGACGGGAAAGAGGGAAGAGAAGGGAGAAAAAACAGGCTTTGTCTCCCAAGAGCACCGAAGCACAAAAGATCGCTCTGCGATGGTAAGGCGGGTAATGCTTTGAACGGCTGAGATCTTCACACCACGATTCTTCTGGGAGCTCTGCGTCAGAACAGACTGTAGTCTGAAAAAGGGAATGGATAAATGGGTGAAGAAAAAGGGCGTAAAGAGAAAGGAGACTCAAAGAAAAGATGATAGCATAGAGCTACAGAAAAGAAAGAGCCAGACGAGGAGGCTGAGGCACTGCTGACGGAGTTTATCAAAGGGGAGCGGGTTGATCCGTTTGACAGGCCATTAGCAAACATACTGGCTAGTTTGTCTGATCACCACTACTAACTGATCGTGAGCCAACACTCCACCGCTTTCGCAGATGGTGTGTGCGCGTGCTGGGGTTGTGTGTATTAATAATTCAAAATGTCTTACGGTGCTTCACATTGACCTGCTAATTGACTCTGTAAACGTTAGATGTGTGAAGGACCGCCAGCCCCTTCTGAAACCCAGACCTCCTACGTCTGACCACTTAACCTGGGCTCCTGTCTGACCTTACGCTTTTGAACCTTGATGTTGGTGTGGATATCGGGAAACGCCTACAGACTCTGCTGCCTTCATCTCACTTGGAGTATTGATTATTGCAGTTAGCTTCAGCAAATCTCTGTATACGTCTCTTATTTCTCTCTTCAATCATCCTCAGAGGAAGTGGAAGCAATCACCCATCAAAATAAAGGTGCCAAAAGGGTTCTCTGGAACAGTGACATAGAAGGACCACTTTTGGTTTTCTCTAAAGAACCTTTCGGTGGTTGGAACCAGTTTTGTAAATGAGGGGGTTTTGATAAGGTTTAAAGAGCACCCATGTAAAAAGGCTCTAAATCAGGGTGGAGAACTCGGGGTGGTGGTTTTCTTGCTGTTACATCTCCTAAGGGAAAGACGCAACAAAGAGGAAGTGAGACTGCCCACTCATCCGCCAGACCAGGATAAAGAGAAGTTTCTAAACTAATAAATAGGAGAAAAAACATATCAATTGCAGATTCACCCAATTATTTAGCACACTGTAAAAAAGAGAATATCAATTCAAGGAGGGCCAAAATAACCTACAAAATATCCTGAACAACATTAACTAACTAATCTACAAGAAAAAAGACAATTACAAACGCAGTATCCTTTCTTCTCTAACAATATATATAATCAAAACGGGTCAAACAAAAAGGGCAGGCCACCCCTACGTTCCTTCCCTCTCACTAAAACATAAAAAAATCAGGGTGTCTCCACTGACCCATGTACGCATGTAGGCCAGCAAATCACAGTAAACAATTCTTACACCCTAACAGATAATCAAACTGGTCTGTCGGCTGGCAGGCAGCCAGTGGAGCGAAACAGTGTGGGGCTGAATCAAAACGCCATTGACAAGTGCAAAGGACCTTTTTACAGCCAGCAACTGAAGCAGCCAATCATGTGCCAGGAAAGGTAGGATTTCAGTCAAGCAGCATCACCACCATGGGAACACACAACCAAACAGACAAAGAGAAAAGAAAACCAAGCACAAGATGTAACAGTGCTCAAACATGCCTGACTCAACTCAGCAGTTAATAACCAGGCTTAGTTGTAGAGAAATCACCAAACTGTGCTGACCCTCAGTTCCCATGCCCTGTGTCTTTTCAGTATCATCCATCCAGGCCGAGACCAATTTAGGAACCTTTATTTTGAGTGTAAATTGCCAGATGAATGAAGAGTCATAGCATGAAGTTGTTTCTGGGATTCACTGCTTTAGCAACGAAGTCCTGTGAAGATTATAAATCCGGTCCTAAATCAGCAGTTCTGTTTTCCAGTTACAGAGAACGAAAACAAAAAGCAAAAACAAACAATAATTTTCATGCAGCATAATTTAAAAATTAAATTAAATGGAAAAAATGTGGTTAACCAGTTTAAAATGTTTTCTTGTTCCAATTAATTTTTCACACACACATTTTCTAAATTGCTTATCCTCCTGGGTCTCGGGGGTGCTGGAGCCTATCCTATTGGTCATGGGGCGGAAGGCAGGATACATCTTGGACAGGTCACCAGTCCATCAAAACCCTAGACAGCAAATAACAGCTGGTTGTAATGTATTGTATTACACAACAGTAAGTTACGACTAAACAGTCTGACTGGTTGAGAAGCGTTCAACTGCTGTTATTTGTGATAATAATGTGATCACAATAGATAAAATCGGAATGTTTGTGAACGTAATAGTTGGCTGTACTTCCAGGTGGATAACTTGCATCCATCCAATCAGCATGGAAGCAGCTTAGTTTACAGCACAGTTTACAATAAATTCACACATAACAGACAAAACATTTGCAATAACGGCCAAGTCTTGTTGTGTTTGAGGCTGTAATGTCAAATGTACACATATATGGAACAGATTTGATTTTTTCCCATTTTCCAGCTTTCAAAAACAAGTAGAACTGCTTTCCCACTGATCTTTGGTCTTTGATAACACTGAAGTAGCTGAAGCTAATGACAGTGAATCTTCAGCTCTTGCAGATAAAGATGAAATGGCCAAGTACTATTAAGACCAGTAAGTACAACAGAAGTATAAGCAAATAAGGTGAGCTAACTGGCAAGCAAGGTAGCTGATTAGCCAATTTAGATGCTTTAGAGCAAAGGTTTTTTAACCTTTTTCAGAGTAAAAATGTTTCGCAACCCATCCCCTTACCTCCCCCAGCCCCCACGGGCCATCTCACAAACACACCAGTATACAGTATTACAGAAATTACAGACGAACAATCAAAGAGTAAGTCTGGTCACTTAATGGGATGACTGGGCCTGCATTCCTTTGCTAGCTAGCACTTTGCCACAAACCACAAATGTTTAGCCTGGCACTGAAAAAATCCTTCAAATTTAGCACTCAGTCTATCTTTTAGTTCAGTGAAGACCCTCTCTCAGTAACCAGCTCCCCCACTAGAAATTCATAATCAATCTAAAGCTGTGATCACACCAAAATGCTGCTTTGCTGTTTTTTTGCAGGGACAGAGCAAAAGTCAGTGTGAGCGGTCCTGATTTGAGGTGGTTTTGAAGAGAACCACTCATTCAAGTGAATTGGCTTTTTTTTGCGAGGCAGATTTTATATATAAAAGACCGTTCAGTTGTTAATTGTCGTTATTATAACTTCCAGCTGTCTCTTTAGCAGAAGGAAAACAAACTAGAACTAGAACGAGAACAGTTCTTGTTTTTGAATGTGCAGTGGGGAAACACCATTCTAAAGTGAATATTTCTTTATTAAATCCTGGTTTAAAGCACTGGTTGCTAAGTAACGCTGCAGCTAACCATTCTAACCATTGTAGCACATACAATAGAAAATGAACACATCACATAACTACCAGATAATATTTGACCTGCAGCCCGTCCTAAGCAGGCTTTTCAGCTAAACGCATCGAAAGCGGACAGAATACATGATGTTATTTGTGATATTCTGATGTCATGATGTCATACTTTCTAGAAGAATAGTTAATAAGGTCATTTTGATATAACACACAGTGCATATATAAGGCCTACCGCCACATCTGTTCAATAAGAGTTTGACATAATAACGTTTTTAACTGGTTACTCACATTTCTAGATACATTTCACCCTCTGGAACTGGAAAGTTAGCTTGTTCCTGTTTTTGATTATATTCTCTCAAAAAAAAATATATATATATATAGGTATGTTTCCTATTAACCATTAATGATCTCAGCTATTTTATTATGCTTTGTAAGTGCAGATACAGTTCTTTTACCTAAAACTGTTGTCTATCTGTTTCCAGGACTGTTCATTTTCTTTCTCTCTCTCTCTCTCTCTCTCTCTCTCTCTATATATATATATATATATATATATAAATAAAAATTACTGTCTATCTACCCAGATAGCAAGCATGTATCTGTCCACTGGCCTGATACAGTCGGCACCCTGCTGACCTTTGGACCACCCAGATTACTGACCTGCATATAAGGTCTAAATATTTTTTATTACAAACAACTGAGAGAGAAACTATTAAGCTATTAATTATACTACTAAAATGTTGCTGACACTGTGCTAAATTAAAATGATTTACTAAACTAATTTACAAAGGATAATGAAAGAAAGAAATCAAGGAAAAGTAAGTAAAAATAAGTCAATTGGACTGTGAGTGGAAAATGAGCACTTGCAAGTGGCATTTTGTCTAACACTCTGCTCAACCACCAGTGGTTTGCCCGGAGAACAGTCAGAGCAAAAAGCCAGTGGGCTGCCAGATTTGCCATCAGTGGCCTGTTATCTGGGTATCTAGCTATCTATCACTGTTTCCTTAGTGTATCTCCCTAATTTATTCTGTTCTTCTCTTTACGCTTTGTTTTGTTTTCTTCATATTATCAAATATTTTTCAAGAGTCAATATGAGGAAGACTTTTTCATTTCTCTTACATCAAATTTCCCCTTTTAAAGGACAGACCTGGCTGTTTTAATCAAGCCTGTAGAGGTTTTTTGTTTTTTTTTTTCTCTCAGACATCCATTTCAATACATAAATCTTTTAGATACAGCTGATCAACAGTTTCTACTCTGCATTAACAGGCTACAGCAAAAAGAAAGGTTATTCTGGGCTGGGCCTCTGGTCAGTTGGCGCAGAATAACCTTTTTTTAAAATTCAAACAAAACCCTCTGTTTAATTTATACATCTGTACAAATTTGATATGGTTAAAGTTAATTTTTGAAGTTTGCTGCAGCCCATTCTAAATCTCATTGTTTTCTATTTACTTATTTAGTTTAACCCTTTAAATAGCCAGGGCCAACCGTTCTGGTGGGCCCAAAGTTCTACTACACACCTCTTTAACCTAACAATAACTCAACTAGTTTGCATTGTGGTCCACGTGGTACTGAATAATAAGCCTTAGTATGTCAAAAGCCTGGGATTTTAAGGAGTTAACTGCTTACAGAATGACTGAATATGACTGAGTCAGTTTCATGTAAACAAGTCCCACAGTAGAGTTGTTTACTGAAGGATGCACTTCCTATATGCAGTATTTCATCTTTTAAATAGAATCTTTCGGCCTTATTTTTTCTAAATTTAGGCTGTATGTAATATGAATGCATTCAGACCACAAACAAGCAAAATATGAAGGAATAGTAAAACAGTAAGGATTTCCAAAGTGAACATTTATAATACTCCAGAAAGTCAGTGTCCTCTTTTGAGGTGATATATTCTCCTATTTCTTTTTGCTGAGGCATCTATTATGAATAGAATCTCTCATTAGAGGGACCCAACAATTATCCTCCGCTACCCTATTTAGCTGATGGAGCATATGTGGATTTTTTCATGAACATGACTGTGCTCTACTACTTCCAGTGGCCTATATTACTGTGCAAAAGGTAGAGACCACCCTTCACGTGTTTAATTTTCAGTCAAGTACAAGTTGTTAATTTTTCAGGAGATATTTCTGAGGAGATCAGTCAGAAGATAATCCAACTGCATAAGGAAGAGGGAAGTCAAAGTAAAATAAATGATTAAGAAAGTAACAGAGAAAGTATGACTCCTAACAACCATGCAAGACCTGGTAGATCACCAGAACGGTCCCCATCAGGTAACAGTCCTTAAAGCTTTCATCTGTCCATCCTTCCGTTCACTGTGAGAAGACAACTCAACACTATGAGTCTGAAAGGATGTGTAGCTGTCAAGAAGCTGTCACTGAGAAAAGGAACAAGAAACTG